ATAAAATATATTTTTAGATTTTGGATAATTCTTATTGTTATTATTTAAAATCTTATATAATTAAATAAATTTAAATTCGTTTTTATATTTAATTAATTCATTTAATTTATTCATTAAGGGTATAAATGATATTAACCACTCTAACTTTTAACGTGAGAGCTCCGTTGCGAAAAATCACTTCGCAAATAATAGTATAGATTAAAAACTAAGGTGAAGGGTATTTACGGTATTGTGTAGCTCCAACATCCTCAGCTACAAAAAGAAAAATATCTGAGATTTCTTAATTCTTATATTATCCAGGCCTTTTGTCAGATCGATTGGTCTCAAATTGTCGCAGAAAGATGCAGGTGATTGCGTCCTGCTCTTTGCGACCTGAGAATGATTTTGTGGGTCGACGGCAGCTTCTCTCCTCCGCATGTTCCAGACTCTCTCAAGGCGACGTCGTTTCAGACCGACCAGTTTCTTCAGTCAAGTAAAGCCTTTTTAGCTTCTTACAATAAAGCCAATTTCGCGGCATTTCCATTACAAAATATGTTCTTTTTGATTTGGGTTCCTTGAAAGATTGTTTCTTTTTAGTTGGATCCTTAAAAAAAATTACGGATTTTCATGTTCCTTAATGTAAGCATTTGCTTCTTTCACAACCATAACATTGAATGAGAGACATTTAACACCATTCTTAGTTTCACACCCAATCACCTAAAACACAAAGCGTGACAATATTTACTACCAAAACTGTAATGCTCAGTTTGAAATTTGGGACATTGGTTCATAAGTGTGTTTCTTTCTGTTGTAAATTTTGAATTACTTGGGAACTAGATGTTGATAAAGGGACAATCGTTTTGGTTGTTTCTGTGTTTTTTTAATAGGACTGGTCGAGATTGGAAGTCGAGCTTGCATGAGTTAGCCATGAAAAGTGTCCCAAGGCGAATCTTGTTAACAAGTATATTCATGAACCTGTGCTGTAATCCTTCAAGGTACTTATCAGGTCTGCACCTTCTTAAAGCTTTGTTTTCAACAAATTGATTAGGCAAAGTCTATATAAGAAGCTTGATTGTCACATTGTACTTCAAAGCCCACATTAGAATTCATTTTGAAATAAGAACGTTAGATTTCAAAATCCTAATAGAGAAACTACAGTATCAAAATCATACAATTATTGGTGTAGTTGAACAGTTTCATAACGCTTTTGATTAAATTACAGCACTAGCACTTGGCGATCCATCTGTTGCGACAGTTGAAGCTGTAAGCCCACCTGTTTTCCCAGCTGGACCTCTCTTCCCTACTGAGGTTAGTTTCTTTAGGATAAATGGTAATGAAATTTCAGGTTTTGATGGTTACACTAAGATTCATATACTCTTTCCTCTGTTACAGGGAAGAATTGTTCAATTATTTGAGAAGAATACTTACTCCGTTGTCAACATATTTGATGTCACATTACGGCCTCAGCTCAAAATGACTGGTGTGATTGAGGTACTGTTTCTCAATACCATAAAAAAGCCATCTCTTGTTCATGTTATTTATTGATTGTTTGATTTACAGTTCTCTCAAATTGAATCGTAGATACCTGAAGGAAATGGCTCTGGAGTAGTTTGGGATGAACAGGGATACATTGTGACCAATTATCACGGTAAGACGGTCTTAATGAAGCTTTAAGTGATTGTAAATATAATATTGTGATTATTAAAGATTTATGTTTCTTCTACTGAACAGTTATTGGCAATGCTCTTTCAAGAAACCCAAGCCCTGGTGATGTAGTTGGTCGTGTCAATATTCTTACATCTGATGGGTGAGTTTTGAATGACTTTCACCGTTGATCTGTCTCTCTTGTTGTTTCTCACGTCTGCCTCATATGTGCAAATCTTGAAGGGTACAGAAGAATTTCGAAGGGAAACTTGTTGGTGCTGATCGTGCTAAGGATCTTGCTGTCTTGAAGGTAGAAGCACCTGAAGCACTCCTTAAACCGATCAGAGTTGGACAATCAAATTCTCTAAAAGTTGGGCAGCAGTGTTTAGCAATTGGGAACCCTTTTGGTTTTGACCACACCCTTACGGTCGGTGTCATCAGCGGTCTTAACCGTGACATTTTTAGCCAAACCGGTGTTACCATTGGTGGTGGTATTCAAACTGATGCAGCTATTAACCCAGGAAACAGGTACCTCTACAGAACCATACAAAAGGGTGTTATAATAACTTTTCTTTTGAAATCCTTATGTGTGTGTTTACTAATGGATATATTGCAGTGGAGGTCCTCTGCTTGATTCAAAAGGGAATTTAATTGGGATCAACACAGCCATATACACACAAACAGGTAGGCTTTCGGTGACTCCTTGTCAAAACTTTTTTTGTAAGAATCCAATTTTATATTTTACTCTTGGCTTCAACAGGGACATCTGCTGGTGTAGGATTTGCAATACCGTCATCAACTGTATTGAAGATTGTTCCTCAACTAATCCAATTCAGCAAAGTATGCAAACAGAAAATCCATTGCTTAGTTTTCTTTTCTTGATGTTGTTACTAAAAATCCAAGTTTATAGGTTCTTCGAGCTGGTATTAACATAGAGTTAGCTCCAGATCAAGTAGCTAATCAACTCAATGTTCGTAATGGAGCTCTTGTACTACAGGTATGTAATCACTTCATACTCTAAAACCTTGAAACTGTTCTTTCTTTCTTTTTCTGATATTGTAATGAGTGTGAATGCAGGTACCTGGAGATAGTCTGGCTGCAAAAGCAGGATTACGTCCAACATCCCGAGGTTTTGCTGGTAATATAGTACTTGGAGATATCATTGTTGCAGTTGATGATAAACCCGTAAGCTTGCTTATTCTCTAGCTTCAGTTTGTTCGTTCTTGAAGAAAGGAAGGACCTTTTCTTGTTTTTTTTCTTAGAACTGAGATTCTGATTGTGTGATTGGTCAGGTGAAAAGCAAAGCTGAGTTGATGAAGGTGTTGGATGAGTATAGTGTGGGTGATAAGGTGAAACTTGCGATCAAGAGAGGAAGTGAAGATTTGGAGTTACAGATCTCATTGGAAGAGAAGAGTTCATGACAAAATTAATCTCTCTGTTTTTCTGTGTTCCCAATATTTAAATACATATATGTATGTCAATAGAAGAAACATGTTCCTTGTACTGTTGAAACGGTGTCTACAGATGTGTACTTGATTTAAAACATGTTTAGGTTCAGCTAAAACTAGTCAACATGGCTCAACTCTCCACTGTCTTGTCTCTTCAATTCTAGATACCGTTGGCAATGTAAGGAGATCCCATAGGAAAACAGGATCTTCTTCTACCATTGGAGTATTTTAAACGCAGAGCAAGTTTCTTGAGGACTACTGAGTTTTCTGCAAAGTACTTTACTAGTTCCATTTCAGCAAGGTCACCAGTGCTTGTTATCGCTACAAAATCTTGCGATGACAGCAAACCCTGACGCACGGGCGTGAATCTTGTTTGTTCTGTCATAGGTGAATAATATAGATCCTGTAAAAATAGTATAATACACAGCATAATGAATGAATTTTTAGATAATACAGTACTTTGACAAATCTCTCAAGTCAGACCTTACGCAGGTCATTACTAAGATTAGGGATCTTAGATTAGGACAGATTTCAAGAAACTTTGGAAAGATATCCACATCCCGCGAATAAAGCTCTACTTTCAAACATGACATTGCAAAATTGCAGGGAAAGTAGCCTATTTCAACCTAAACTTTACCCATCGTGCATATTCATTTCCGAACTTTGTAATAATGAATATTTCATATTGAATTAAATAAATTTTTTAAAATACTATATTAATTTTACGCGTTGTGCCTGTTCATTTCCAAATTTTATAGTAATGCATATTTCATATTGAACTAAACCAAACTTCAAAAAATATTACATGAACTTTCACATTTATGCCTTTATATTTATTGACGGTAAAATTTTAAAATAAAGTTAAATTTTCAAAAAGTTGTTAATTTAAATTATTACTTTATTAATATTATTAAAATTGAAGTATCTTTTAAAATATAATTGTAATTTTAAACATAACTTATTTTTTAACTTCAACTATTTTAATTATAATGGAGTTTACATAATCTTTATGCAAATAAGAAGATAATGCATATGGGACATAATAATGAAATTGATACGAATCTCCTTCTGAAATCATCATTTTTGCTAATTTGTCAGCCACTTCATTCACAGACCTCCCAATCCATTTAAACTCCACTTCTTCAAATCTTCTACTCCACCATCTTGCTTCTCTAACCCAATTGTATGCTCCAAAGTTCAGTGATCCAGAATTCAAAATATTCATTAACTTTTTATTATCACCTTCAAAAGTCATCTATTTTGTAACCATGAATCCAACATTATTGCATAGTCATTATCAGAACTTGAAATTCTGCCTCTAAAACTGATCAGACTGTCATTTCTTTTGCTTGTCCAGCACCTTAAAAAAATACCCTTTTCATCTCGAATCACCCATCCTGTAACAATCCAGTCCCTAGGATCTTACTTTCAACATTAACAACACTTCTCTTCAATTCAATGCTTCCTTTATTTCAATCTTAATCGTCTTACAAGTAACTAAATTCAGTGAAAACCGAATAACATACCAAGAGTTTAAGAAAACGTAGTGGAAACTCTTAAAAACAAAACTGAAATAGATGGCATCATCCCGACTCCTACTCATGCACCTTCTCGATCATACCTGCAAGAAGGAGGGTGACTAATTGGGATTACTCAGTGAGGGTAGGTTCTAGGAACCTACAAAATCATCTCAGATCACATAACACATCAACCACAAGTCATAAGTTAATATCACCTAGCATTCATCTAACTAGATTCTCTAGACTCTCTAATCCACGAGTTCTCAAGGTAATCACCCGTACACCTCATGACCTTACACGACTTCACCATATTCTACTAAACCGGCACTCACCAAACCGGCACTTCGTCACACTACGACACAACCCCATATCTCATCGACGACATCATAAAGCCCTAGTTTCATCAACCTTCAATCTTAACCAGATTCATTATTATCTTCATTCATTCTTATCACGCAACCTTTATCCTTTAACATCCCATTATCTTCTAGGTTCTTTTACTCACATCATCAATCAACACACTTTTCATCACATCAACACAAACGAACAACTATATCTAGGTTAACATTAACAAAGGACTAACTCCCTGAGGTATTATACAACATGAGAGAAGTTCACGACCAGGTACTCATCTTAGCCTTTCTCGATGTCACAAATCCAGATCCAAAAGAAGATGAACGTAGAAACACCACCGCAGATCTGTACTTCACTCTCACTAGAAGATGGGAGAAGGGATTAGGAACCAGATCTGTCACACTCACTGACAAATAATTGAGAGGAAGAAGAAGGAGATGTAAATCAGAGTCTTACCAAACAGATCTGACAAAAGAGAACAAAAGAGGGAGAAAATCGGAAATGGTGGTGGAGGGTGGCTGGTAACGGTGGCTGCTCGGAGAAGGCGGCTGGCGGCAAGGGTTTTAGGTCTCCCAGGATCTCTACAGGGCTATGCTTCTAGTTTGTGAATAATACAAAAGGAGGAGGCTGCAGCTTCTTTTATAGGGTGAAGGGAGGTAAACCATTAGCTTTTTCCCTAATGGGCCGTAGGCAGGCCCTTTTAACTTAACGAAAGTTTTGGGCCAAGTCATGGGTTGTTACAATCTCCCCCACTTAATAGAATTCGTCCCCGAATTCTGCGTGTCAAAACTCACACCATCCACATTCCCACCAACGTGGCATCACACGTCACTTGCTCATGAATGCTTTTTGTAACACCATGCCTTACTAACCTTGCGGAGGTCCCTCATCCCTTTGTTTCCCAACCACCCTTCTAAGACCACATTTCCTTGTGGTTCTCCAACTTTGTCTATACGCCATTTATAATTACGGTAAGGTGTATTCTTGCTGTTGGTTGGAAGGTCATCCCGGGAATTTCTACCCTCATTTACTCGCCCCCACGTGTGGTGTCATTGCGAAATCAAAACATCCGTTGGTCGTACTGCCGACCTGCCACTAAGCTTCCGCTGTGCTACTCTGATTTTTTTCTTGCTCCCCATGGTCTTTCGTCATGCCATCCCCATCCGTGGATTCAACCATCCACCAGTGTCCCTTGATCCAACTTGGCAGCAGCCTTCTGTTCCTCCTAGCTCTTATCGGCTATTCTACTTGCTCCATGGTTCCTTAGGTCCCTTTTAACTTTTTCCTTAACTTTCCCCCAGTTCGATCAAGCGTACCTGGTTCCTAAAAGTCTCCCCTACATTTCTCGTACTCGTAACTCCATATGTGCAGTGGGTTGCAAGATTATGCCAGTACTCATCGGTGATATTGTAACTTAGGGACTTGTCTTAAGATCATTTCCTTCAGACTTTCACCACCTGGGACACTCATGCGGTTTCTGAGCTGGAGCGTATTACACATCCAAAAACTCTAGTCTAGATATCTCCTCTTGCACTAACATAGCTCACGTGTGCATGTCCTCTTACACTTCCAATCGCGTCTTGTTTATATTTACAAAGGTGTTCTAGGCGATGTCCTGGCCCTTGTTCCATTAAGGATAACATTTTTCTCTTATCGAAGACGTTGGACACATGATTTGGCGTAATCCATTAAGACTCTTCATCTCTGTCTCTAGGACTTCCTCATCGCCGGCACGTCTATAGACTCCCATAATTGTCATTCACTCTAGCACAATCGTCTCGACTCTTGTAGTGTCCGGTTTTGACAACTTTTCAAATATTAAACAACTTAATAACTTAGACCCACAAACCATAGGTTTATTTAGTGCGACAAGGGAACTTACTCCTCCCCTCCTCTACCGATCCCGAATAACACGCTAGGACTACACTACTAGACTTAGGTGCACTTTACTTCCACTAATAATTTTTTGCAAGAAGTTATGCATAAAAACATACCGTGATCATCTCAATTCATTGATGAACCCTAGCAACAACGATCCTCGGCTATAGTGATTTCCTCTTGGGTGGTGGTTGTAATGTCCCATCTGCTACTCTTGTCTTATGAACTCCACAATCCTTTGCTATGTGACCTTGTCGTTTGCAGCGAAAACTTCTAATATCCGATTGTTGTTTAAGCGGGCAATTCTTCTTAAGGTGTCCCAACTGCTTGCACCGAAAACACACCCCATGCCAACACTCGTCCAGGTGCTTCTTTCCACACTGTTCACATAGTTGTTTAGGTGGAACTACGGTTTCTGCACTTGAGATTTACAAGGTCCTTTTCACAGTTGTCGCATGAACTCTCTTAGCTTGCTTACACTCTTCTTCCAGCCCAGCTTCCTGTTCAGATGCCTTTTCGAACAGTTCGTTTATGTTCTGGTATTCTCTAATGTTGCTATGGTTCTTGAGTTCGATCCTCATTCATTTCAGGAATCATCTTATCAGTTCATGCTTTCCCATGTGGTGCCCCGCAAATCTTCTCAGCCTGTTAAACTCTTCTCCATACTCTCTCACACTCCGGTTTCCTTGTTTTATATCTTGGAACTGGCCCTCCATTTGATCAAGCACTTCCCGTGGAAAATATTTCTTGTTATATTCTTCAAGGAAGTATGTCCAAGTCAGATCGTGATGTCCTTGCGCGTCTTCCACTATGCCTTCCCACCACACTAGGGCATCATCTTTCAGATGGTGGACAGCCAAGTTCTTGCGGAACTTGGGTGGGCCCCTGGCTGTGTCAAAGTTTCTTATCAGCTGCCTCCTCCAATTGTCAGCAGCAATTGCATCCGTCTTTCCGTTGAAGAGTTCTGTCTGCATATTCTTCATGTATTTCATCATGTCCCAATATGAGGGTCCTTCTCTTTGCACTTTCACACGCAGTGGTGGAGGTGGATGGTTCACGGTGTTTCCCGTTAGTGATTGGGCGGGTCCAACTCCTATTGGAACTCCTATTGGACCACCATTCCTTGGCATTCGCCCTTCGTAGGCCTCTCGGTACATCTGCAACTCTTCCAAGACTGCAACATCCACAACAACTTGACCCTTTTTCGGAACCCCTCTTGATGTGTTTCTCAACTCTGGCTCGGCATCGGTACAACTTTCATTCAAACTTTTAGCACGGGGTTTAGTTTTAGCGGAACGCTGTGCTGCTCTTTGGGTGGTGGTCATTGCCAATGTAACCTTGGTATTCTTTGGTGGCATCCTGATACAACAAATGGCGTGTCAGATTCTTATCGTAAAAGAGTTCAC